TATATATATATATATATATAAACCTTGTAGGTTCAAGGTTTATATATGTATCAGATATTATTTTTAATTATTATTAAAAAAATCGCTATTTTATAACCAGCATTAATTTCTATAGCCTTTTTTACATTGTAATTATTATTATTTTTATTATGTTACTGTTAGTTGGTGTTTTTTACTTATCATATTATCTTTAAATATTGTTATGTAATTATATACATTTTCATGTCGCCGGATCCAGTGATGATTTTCTTGTCATCAAGAAATCTGCAAGATGACAGGAAGCCCTCGTAACCCAGAAGCTCCCTCACGATCTTGGCAGATCCTGTAGCGTCGCGATTGTTCACGTCGTAGACGGTGCACATGTTGTCCATACCGCCGCACGCGACGAAATTGCCGGACGGCGCGAAAGCTACCGACATTACCCAGGCTGAACGCAACGGGATGACCTGTACTTTATTGCCAGTCCACGTGTCCCAGATAATTAGCTTCCCATCCAACGATCCAGTCACACAATGTCTACAACGTAAAACGTACATCAATTTATAAATTTATTCCATTATTTTCAGTCTACGTGATTTGACAATAAGTGTAGTAAGCCTTTTATTCTAAGTTCTAAATTGACGTTTTCTATTTTCGGAAATGTTTTTTTGCAAAAAGTATTTCCAATGTTACATCAAGTCGTAATCCCTCAGCTTTAAGCTGGCCAGATATCTATAAAGTTCAGAATTTAGAGCAAATTAATATCATAGTTCAAAATTTAGAGGCAAAGTTACAGGCTTATTGCATCTATTACAGAACAGGACTAAAAGATTTTTAAGACACGATAAATTGTCTAATGATACATTAAAGTTTAAAGCGAAAGCGTACTTAAAGAAGTAAAGACATTTCAATAGTAAAAAACATTTCGACATAACGAATCGAAGAAGTATGAAAACTAATGTTAAAACTGACCGACTATCGCCACTAAAGTGCACTGAATTGACTTTATTAATGTGTCCCTTCAACATCTTCTTAGTTGACAATCTAACTTTCGGAGCATCCGCCACCCCACCGCACACTTGTTCCAATGTTGTATCCTGTTGCTTCTTTTGTTCTTCCTTAATGAAGCAAATAAAACTGACAGAATGAGTAAAGACATCTCTGTCGAATAACTTCATATATTTATATATATTACAAGAAATTTTATTAATTAAGGAATTATATATAATCACTGGCCAATATACATAATTTCAACTTGTTTTGGAATGAGAATTATTACATTGGCCAATCATACATAATTCCATAATCCATCAATTAAATTTTTTGTAATTAAAATTACAATTATGTGAAATATTAATGAATTAATTCCTCGATTATACAGTAAAATGTTTAAACCTTGCACTTGTTAATAAGAGCTTCCAGTTCTTTCTTCAGGGCTACAGTCTCTGCGTCTTCCTTGCCCATTTTTATCCTTCTTCGTGCTTTATCAGCGCTCAGAAAGATATGAAAATCAAATGTCATCGACGTTCGACATGTAAAAACTGCCGATATACAAAAGAAGCCTCAAGATTGCCTACCCCGCTGCCCCAGTAATCATATTAGGTCGCTAGTTAACTCGATTTGTTGGGCATTAGCTCGTCTCATTCACATAACTTAATTACCTTACATACACGATAACGTTTCAAAGAACATCTGCAATATATATTTTTTCTTTAAAAATATACATATAAATTGAAGCACGAAATTAAAGAAAGAGAATAAAAAAATGAGATAAAATGAGACAAATTTTGTATTAAAAGAGGGAAGGGGGAAAACAAGTTGATTGCAAATATAATGAGATTTTTATTTATTAATATTTATTTAATATTAATGTAAATGTACATATCCTTTACAGGACAGATCGGGAATGTTTCATTTACGTTTTGCAGAACTTCACGGATCGATGATAGCATATTCCCCCGGAATAGGAAATCACGCGAACAAAACACCGTCGACACGGTGTGACGGTTAGCCACTCTTTTCGACCACAAAAACCATCAACGGTTTCACTTTCGAGTCTCCCACTTTCTCCTATAAATGTTCGAATCCTTTGATACTGATCAATGTAACTCGGTGTAATCGCACAGTGATTGGTGTCGGATATTTATCTGCGATATCTGCAAATTTTTCAGAGTTCGAAGAGCTAAAGTAAATATTACTTATATAAATCCAGATAAATCATTAGAGCAAACACGAAATATGTAGTCAAACAATTGTTGAGACATGTGAAGTAGTACACACTCTGGCGAAAATAAAAATAATTTAAAAATAAGTTGAAAGTTAAAAATAAAAAGAAGTGTAAACTCTTTTACATTTCGTTATCTTAATTTATGTATGTCTTCCAACAAGTGATACTCGTACGATATGACACAATGGATCATTACATCCTTGTTGTTTGCCAATGTTAAACAAAGATGACATGATGACTGTGTCGCACTGTGTTGCTTGTTGAAAAGTACACATTATTTCATAAAAGATTTTTTTATGTCTCTGTCACTCTTCCCTTATATTCGACTTACATTTCGATTTTTATTTTGGCTAGAGTAAAATAATTTCACATAATTTCAATTCAGTGTAGATACGAGTTGAGTTACAATTCTAACAATTCTAACAATTCTTACAATTCTAACAATTAAATTTTTGGCAACTGATTGTGAGATAAGTTCTGATAGAACATTTTCAACAACAATTAGACAATATGAGAACACAAAGTGTCTCGGGAAGGCTGACGCTATCAATCGTTCTACTATTATATGGAGATCAACTTGCAGCAGAAAATGCAGAAGGAGTGTGTAAAACAAAGCAAAGCCATGATGTTTATGTACCCTCGAATGATCTCTCGTGTGAAAGAGATGTCTCGGATAACAAATCATTCGTCATCGAGCGATACAGACCAATGAAAAAATGCACATCAAATTTTGATACGACAGGTACTTTGTCTCTCATATTTATTGTATTGTTAGTTACAATTGCAATGTTGCAAAATTTTATTTCTTCAGAAATGTAGGAAAAAGAAACTCCATGTTCAATTTATAAATAATCGACTAATAACATCGCTTGTTTTTGTATAATGTCTCTTAAAAAAAGATGAAATTTTTCAAAAATTCTTTATATAATTTTTCAAAATTTTTGTATATTTTATAACTTTGTAAAAAATTCTATATTTTAATAACTTTTCATCTTATCAATATTTCATCTTATCATATTTTTTCTAGAATTTTTCATATACATATACGAGGATAGTTCGAAAAATTCTCGGCCTGACATAGAGATGGCATCGAGAGTATCAAATGGCTATGATTTTTTTTAAGTTTGACCCTCTTCAGAGGGTCTCCGAAAAAGTTTCAGACAAATGCGATTAGTACATTGTCTGTTACGTCGAGTAAAGCAAACAAGTTTTGGTATTTCTCGAAAAATGGATAAAATCCAATGTCGCGCAGTGATAAAATACTTTGTTTTAAAAGATTTAACACCAACGGAAAAAACGAGTTGGATTCTACTCTAAAAGATTCTTCACCATCATTTTCAACAGTGAAAAACGGGCTGCTGAATTCAAACATGGTCGTTCATCCATAAATGACGATGAACATTCAAGACGTCCAAAAACCGCCATGACTGAGGAAATCATTGAAAAAATCCATAATGTCGTGTTAAATGATCGACGAGTGCGTGAGCTTGCTGATATTGTAAACATCTCAGTAAATCGTGTTCATAACATCTTACGAACATTTGCACATGAAAAAGCTTTCAGCGCGATGGGTTCGCATTTGCTAACGGTCAATCAAAAACGTATTCGAATGAACGTTTCTCAAGAGTGTTTGAACATGTTTAAACGCAATCCAACCGACTTTCTACGACGATTCATCACTGTGGATAAAACATGGATTCATCATTACACGCCAGAAACGAAACAGTCCAAATAATGGGTGGAAGTGCTCCAAAGAAAGCGAAAACTGTCCCAGCCGGAAAGATGGCGATTGTTTTTTGGAATTCGTATGGAGTCATGCTCATAGGCTATTTAGAAAAAGGCAAAACTGTCAACGGAGAGTATTATGCAGCATTTGGAACAATTAAACGATACTATTAAGGCCAAATGTCCGCATTTGGCAAAGAAAAAGGTGCTTTTCTATCACGATAATGCACCCGCTCACTTCTGCAAGTACAGTAGCATAACTTCATGAGTTGCACTTCGAATTGCTGCCGCACCGTATTCACCAGATTTAGCCCCCAGTGATTTTTTCCTGTTCCCGAATTTGAAGAAATGGCTCCTTGAAAAAAGACTTCAAATACGGAGATCATCATTGAGACAAACACTTATTTTGAAGGGTTAAAAAAATTGTATTATACTGAAGGTCTAAAGAAGTTAGAATATCGTTAGTCTAAGTGTATTGACTTACAAGGGGACTATGTCGAAAAATAAAAAAAATTTTCTAAAAATCATGTTTTTTTTGTCAGGCTAAGAACTTTTCGAATTATATGGATTCTAAAATATTCTAATAATTTCTGAAGAAAATTGAAAAACATTCATTCTTTAATCTTTTTTTAGAAATCTTTACAAATTTAAAATACGACAAATTCTTAAAAATAGGTTTGAGGATTTTTTTCACCAGGGATGTGCGGATGCTTCATTGATTTTTGTAGATAATATTGAAGTGCGATCCTTTTCGCAATTGCCATGAAATCTCGAGGAATAATATTTATTTTGATCTAAAAACGTGAGACAATACGAAGCTTAATTTTTTCATAACATTAATAAAAAAAAATAGCACAACATCTTTTTTATTTTATTGATCGAAAAAGTCGGTAAATCGTGTTTATCATGTGCCAATTTTCTCATTTTCCTATGATTTCTTCATAGTTCTTATATTTTTTTTTTTATAACAATCTGGACTTTATAACAATCTGACAACAAACGATTTTATTTATAGTATTGTTTTATACATTTAATTTATCATATTATAGTTGTTTGTTATTTATACTTAATTACGTTGATTCTTATGTACCCTATACATCTTTGTATATTGTCTTTTAACAAATGATTTTAAACTCCTATAGAAGAGAAAAAAGTATATATTGGGTCGTCCGAAAAGTTCGTGCCGCAAAAAATTTAAATATAATAAATGAAATTAAAAATTTAAATCTTCTACGTTTCAATTTTCCTTCAAATCGGCACGAACTTTTCGGACAACCCAATATTTCTTCCCTGCATATACTATCTCACTTTAACTTAAATACTATTTCACTCTAAAATTTTAATCAAGGTTCGCGCGATTCCATTAATGTGAAATTAACTTAATCTCGATTTAACTTGCTATTTATTTGTTTTAATTCTAAAAATTAAAAAAAGATAAGGAATAAATTGAACCAAGATTAAAGTTAATCTTACATTGGTGGAATCGAATTTAAAATTATTAAAGTGAGATAGCATATATATATATATATACATGGAGAAAATATATATTGTATATCTTTTTTTCTCGTAAGTTTTTGAAAATCACTCGTGGCCAGACTTTGTTACAGTGTCTAGTTTTCTTATAGTTTTCTTATGATTTATGATAAAACATTATAAATCATAAGAAAACTATAATACGCATTCTACAATAAGCCATTAATCATAAATTAGAAGTTAGAAACTGGAAATTGACCAATCACAGTCATTTTTCAACTTCTCTCTAACTTTTGATTTATGACTAATGGCTTATTGAATGGCTATAAGAAAATTAGAGATTCTAACAAAATTTTCCACGAGCGATTTTTAAAAATATAGATAAATCTCCTCTTTATGATCTCCTCATAATCTCCTCATGTTCTTATGGTCTTCTCGTTATTCTTGAGAAAGGCAAGCATTCTGTAAATACTCGATGTGCTCCGAACTTTTAAACTTCTTCGACGTAGAGAACCACTGCACGATCCTCGCGTGTCCATCACATTGAAAATATGCTGCGGGCGCTGCAATTCCTGATTACGGCTCTGCATCTGTACGACGGACGGTTTCCGTCAGTCTCCATGCTTTTGGTGTTGCCGTGTTGGTGCGCAGTCGGCGTCAAGCGACGCCAAGCGACGGATGTGGATGTATGTCACCGACGAGCAGTGCAGATTACCCCGGGGATTCTGTCAGCCAGTGCACTCGTGAGAGAGAAAGAGAGACAGTGAAATGTTCGACAGCAAGAGAACGACGATCGGATGTTGGCTCGTGTGGTGCTACATATTCCTGACGTACCACGTGGTCAGCGAGGCACCAGTCAATGTTAATGGTATGATAGCGATCGCCCTTTCAGAATGGATAGAACTAGAATGGATGAATCCATGCACTCCATGTGTATCAGAGAGAGATCGATACAGAGGGAGAGAAAGAGAAGGAAAGACAGGGAGACTGTCCACGGCAAGCTGATTCTGCCAAAAAATAACAAAAGTTTAAAAAGTTGACAGTTAGGAGATAGCTAGAGATAGATACAGA